AAGACTGTTTACAAACAAAGTGTAATTCTTTTTGATGCTCACTTCCCTCTAGTCTATCACTCACAGAAAACAGACTGAATGGGAAAACCCTATAGGCCACATTTGGCCAGAAGAGGTGTTCCATCTTTATCTGGGGATCACAAGCTGTCCAGAGCTGATCTTGTGTCTGTTTCTGGTCTCAGTGTCTTAACACTGCCACATTGGGTTTGAAATACAATACTTGTATGGTGAACAGTGCCTTGTATGTTACTTTAATGCAAATGTAGTGCCTTGTATGTTACTTTAATGCAAATGTTTCCTTTCTGCATATATAAGTTACATATTAATAATATAAAATCAATATCCACAGTTTCATGATGGAAAACAATAATCCCTTCTGGTAGATGTTCCATCCCTACAATCTCATGATCTGGAAAACATAAAAAGTCCAACATATTTATTCAAAAGTTACTTTAACAAGACAAGTGAAGAAGATTAGGGTAAAACAACAACAACAAAGCAGTGATTCAGGTACCATCAGAATTGAGTAGGAGCAGATCTTTGTTTGTGGTACTTTTGGATTGTGGAAGAGATTGCCCTAACATCCATGGCTGTGGAAACACGTGGAACCAATTTTCACCCATCAAACTTTTGAGTACCCTGTTTCACTGAAAATAAGACCTAATACCCATCAAACTTTTGTGTAAACTGTTTCCCTGAAAATAAGACCTAGCCTGAAAATAAGCCCTATTATGATTTTTCAGGATGCTCATAATAAAAGCCCTACCCTAAAAATAAGCCCTAGTTAAGTGAAACCCTTCCCTCCACCATTGTGCAGCAACCAGAAAATTGATGCACAGTGAAACTGATCTAATTCTGTGAATAGCTTAGCAATACGTAAAGATTCAGGGAGGCAGCAATAATTCAGCCTTAATGTATGCATCCATTTTGTTGTTATACTTGGAATGGAGCAATGCATAAGTGGGAGGCTGCTTACATAACCAATCTCCCCCCCTCCCAAAAAAAACCCACCAATTATTTCTCTGTAGTTGTGGGCTCCCAACAAATTATTTAAAATTGGTTGAGGGAAGTCTTGAAAAACATGTGTTTTGTTATGGTTACTATCGTGAGAAAGGAAAGCAGAAAAATTTAGACATCAAACTCTTGTCTGTAGATTTGCTTGATTTTCTGTTCCTAGTCTACCACTATGTGGCATAGTCCACGCTGTGAAGAAAATCCTAAAAACTTCAATGTGAGGTAACAATAATACCATAGCTAAATTCAAAATATCAGTGAGATCATTCAATAAGTAAACCAAGCAACCAACCAACCAACCAACAAACAAACATTGATTTAGGACAAGAGTGTGATGTTGCCTTACTATGTTCATAAATAAACCCCAATCAGGCAATCCATCTCAAGCACGGTGGTGGCTGACCATGGTACCAGAATCCTTTTTTTTTTTGCAAGAAAAGCCCACAACTATCCAGAATTTCACATAATTTTTCTTCTTTACAGAGACCTCATTTATCTTAACATGGCTCAATAAAGACCAGTACAATTGAAATCTATATGGTTGAAGTGTATTATTTCATTTATTTCTTGTCAAATCCTAGCCAGGAAGGCTCATTTTTTCTTATCATGTGCCCCTACATTTTCTGATATCTTTGAGCTTTTGCTCTTCTGTGTGGGATCTGATTGGACTTGCAGAAAGAAACAACTGGTTGGGAAAGAGTGCCTCAGTATCAGTGATACAGGGAGGTGGCAGTAGTTGAACATCCAACCATCTTTTCTTCTGTAGATGCTGAGAAGGCTTTTGATGGTATAGACTGAAAATATGTAAGGTTGTCTTACAAAATTTGGATTTGGCCAAAAATTTAGAAAGCTAGTAGGCATGTAAAGCAACTGCAGCTAAATTAAAAATTAGTAATCAATTAAGCAAAATAAATAAAAATAAAAACAAAAAAGAGGGGCACAGCATGTTGTCCTGGAAGATGGCAGCATAAGAGAGATGCTCTTCCATAAACATACCAATATAAGTATTAAACATGAAACCCAGCCCATAGATGAGTAAAATTTGCAAATAAATAGGGAAATGGGGATATCTAAGAAGATGGCATGAGAGAATAGACTGGATATGGCATCAGAAGCAGAAGAACATCAACGTTATTTGGTGGAGTCCTCGGAGGCCACATAATGAAATGGCAACTAGGGAGGGACAAAATAAACCCAAATTAGCATGTGGGTGATACGAAGATGAGACAGCTTTTAAAACAATTAAGGAAAGACTTAAAAACAGATAAAGTTGCAGTAGTGTCACTGAAACAGAAACAATGCTTGTACAAAACACTGGTAAGGCTGCACCTTGGGGAATTGCGAATAGTTTGCCACACCTCAAAAAAGTTGCAGAAGAGAGTGACTAAAATGATGACTGGGCTGAGGCACCTCCCTTATGAGGAAAGGCTACAGTGTTTGGGGCTCTTGAGTCTAGAGAAAAGGTGACTGAGGAGGGACCTGACTGAGATGTATAAGATTATGCAGGAGATGGACAGAGTGGATAGAGGGAAACTCTTTTTCCTCTTGCAGAACCAGGGGATATCCACTCAAATTGAGTGCTGGGAGAGCGAGAACAGACTATAGAAAAGATTTATTTTCTCAGCGTGTTGTTAGTCAATCACAGGTTACAAGCCATATTTTCTCAGCTAGTTGTTAGTCAATCACAGGTTACAAGCCATGATGGGGATGTACAAGCTTAAAAGGAAGATACTTCAAAATGTCAGATGAAGGGGAATGGTATCAGGAGATAGATATCTAGTTGTCTCATGTGCTCCCACAGCCATCTGGTGGGGCCACTGTGAGATACAGGATGTTGGACTAGATGGGCCCTTGGCCTGATCCAGCAGGAATCTTATGTTCTCATGTGACTTGACACTTGGGGAGTTCTTCCCTATTTTAAGAGCATTCTGACTACAATCATGGGACTGGGCCAATTTTGTTGTGTGGTTCTAATGTGACAGCCTAGTAGGTTTCCACATCATTAACAATGCACTTTGTGATCAGAACAGGGTAAGCTTAGTTTGGGCCTTTTTTTGCAAGCCCTGCAATTTAACATCGTAGTGCAGGCCCCGCATATCCTGGGGCCGAATAACAATATAATTGACATCCTGTCCTGCCAACAGATTGAGCAGTTCAGACATATATAATCAACAATATAATCGACACCCTGTCCTGCCAACAGATTGAGCAGTTCAGGGCGTTTCCCCAGGATGTGCCTTGACTCTCTGCCTCTGGAGGTGTGGCCAATTGGCAGGAGGAAGCTGGGCACATGATAGGGTCATGTGGACACACAAGAGTACAGAGTTCATCCGGTCATGAGTACAGAGTTCGAAGCAATTAGACTTGGATAGGGACTTAAGCCGGCTTGGACAGCTCTGTGGAGCAGTTACAGCACTTTGTAGTTACTTATATAGGAAGGGGCTCTCCCCTGGTCTATTTTTAAAAAAGTCAGCCTTGGCCTTTTATGCCAGGGCACAGAGTTATTCTGACCCCACATATGATTTTTGCATCCCAAAATGTTAGAGAGGGTGAGGGGTCCCAATAGCAGGGTGCCTATTAGTCCCTCAATTTTAGCAAGAATTAATCAGTGGTGGCCGAGCATCTAAGGGTACAGTTTTGAAGTTGCATTACAGTGGTCACATTTTAGAACCCTTCGGGCCAACAAACCTCTATCCAAGGGCAATAATTCACAGCACTGCAAAGGAAGGACATATTGCTGGTTAGCACTATAGTTTATCTACACATTTGAGGATCAATAACAGATCAGGGCAGGAAAGGCATTAACAATGTTTAGGTCATTGTTCCATAGAAGAGATCTGTCCCATTTGGATGGTGGAAGGCTACCTCACAAAATGTATTGAGCAACACAGATATTTCCTTTTGCCTTAAGGATAGCCTTCCACTGATCAAATATCAATGTAGGAAAATGACAGATGCAGCTCTTTTCCAAGTGGGAATTCAGGGTTGTTGTTTTGGAATACACTGCTTCTGAATAGGGAGCCACATTGCTCCAGCCCTGGATTATGTCTTTGATGCATTGAGATGATGAGCTGTTGGTTCTTAAGTAAACACCACCAATAGGTCCATGGGTGCTCACATTCTAGCTGCTTGCTGCCCATGTTTGTCCTGTGTCAGGAGGCAGCGGCATATCCTGCTGGTTATATATACATTATTTAAAATTGTGTAATGTCCTGATACAAAGAAAGAAATAAAGATTTCTGAACAGAGGAGGGCATAAAACAGTTTTACATTTAAATAGTTGTAACTCAAAAACTCTTTGTGTGCATGTGTCCTGCAATGTAGATAAAAAAGTCTCGCGTGGTTATTCCGGGATAAGGGGGCAAAGGGGTTGCATCAAGTTTCACTTGCATTAACAACAACTGTACCGTGAGGCAGCAAACTTCCAGTTGAGCACTGACACTAAGATGTTAGAGAAACTGACCGTGTGCAATTATTATATTAGCTAATATTAGCATATTAGGTCCTCTGCAGTCTTCAGTTTCATTAGAAACAAAACAGCCTGAGTCTGAACATGAGAAAAATTTGTCTTTTAAAACTGCTGGACAGCTCAGTGGTTAGATATCTGGTTTTGAAGACAGAGGTTAGGAACTTGATTCTTCACCGTGCTTCTCTGACAGGAGTTAGATTTCCCCACCCCTAGGGTCCCAGCTCTGCAATTCAAATATGTTTATTATAAATATTCTTATAATAATGCAATAACACTTTTCTTTCTTTGCAGTATCACATCAATGACATAAACAAAGTAGATAATAATTCTGTAACTAGAGTTCTCAATTTTTGACAGACGGTAAATTAAAGAAAATCACAAGTGATTATTTGGTGCAAATTTTTATTAACTTCAAATACACGAGAAGGGGATATTAGCCAATGCTTGCATTAGTTAAAAAGTTATTAACACTTTAATTAGATCCATAGAGAGGATTTCTTAAAAAGATATATAAAGACTAGTCATCCTTAGGTTGTTTATCAAATCGTTCAGAGAGAGCTCTTAATATATTTCCTGGTATTTTTTGGTATCGATCACGAAGATTTTCAATTGCAATCTTGGTCTGTTAAAATAAAAAAAGGAAAAGCACATGTTAAAGTTATTTATTTAAATAAAGCAAGCAAACAAACAAACCCAAAGTGGAGAGGAATTCTACACAAAATCATAAAGCAGCCATTCCTTGAGTAGAAAGACTTATTATATTTGGTTTCTATGATTGCCACCAGATATGTTCTATTGGTAGAAGAGAATAAAAATGTTGATTGCTGAGGCATGAAGGTTTCTTTATGGAATCGATCCTTTTCCAGTGCTGGCTCAGAAGAACTGCTGCTTCAACCTATAAAGTAGTGTCTTTTCGCCAAAAGGGTGTGATTCTTGCACTGTTGTGTTTTTAATGGGCCAGTGCTCCAATTGACAACTCCCCTATTGAGTCTGTACTGATCCTGTTTCTCATTAAAAATACTTACCTGAATTTCGACCAAATAACTATTTACTCTTAGGGAAACAAGATGAAAGAGACAACACAATTCCTGGACTTTTAATAGTTGCTTTAAAAAGGACATTTTGGCAGGCACAGTTCATTCTACTTGTTCTCACAATTCAATTACAGTAAGAATCAAAAAAATCACTCATCCACAAATGAGACTTTTCCCCTCTTATATCAGTTTATTTCTCTTTCCAGTTTAGCCTTACTACATTCTCTATTTAATTAATTAAAACCATGTGAAAATTGATTGCAGCTTACATTTCCATGGGAGAAATTAACTTACTTTTTCAGCAAGTTCTACAGCAGAAATATTTGGATCATATGGGATGGGTTCTCCTAGATATGTGCGTAATTTAACAGGAAAACATCCACAGATCGGAATAACTATCCATCGGTTTTTTTCATATAACCATCTCATCAGTCCTGGACAGAAAATGAAATGGAAATGACATGTTCATCTTATACAAAGCCATTTGATACAAACCCTGAAAATAGGTGATATCCTGAATTTTCATGATTGCAATAATCCAGTTGAAGCCATGAGTGCTAGTACCAGAATTATATATCTCAGAAATGAGTACAAATTTCATGTCCTATTAATTGGGTAACCTTGGAATTAGCATTCATCACAAAAGTACAGTTTCACACCTCCCAAGACTCACTGTGTGAGATTCCTTTCTTTGAAAGGACCAAAAATCTCAATTGAGAAACACAGTAGCTGTGTCTTGTTGGCTTGCTGGTGTTTATGTCCACAAACACTACAGCTTTCTGCCAGTTTTTTTAAATTCTTTCAGTGAGCCAGAACATTTATTATATTTGGAGTGATACAATCAGGAAAACAAAACCTACATAGAAACTCAATCTGTTTCCTACTTGCTCCCCACACAAAAACTGTAGTTTAGTTATCCTGCACTTTGATTCAGAAAGGATTTTTGTGGTGAGCTCTGGCATAAGTAACATCCAGGGCAGACTTCAGACCTGAATCATATTTCATGATCACCTTCAACCACAGATGAATGCTGTGTTCAACAAATAGGCAATAAATTTGTGGCCTATAGGTGTGTGCATGTTTTGTTGGCCTATCGCTGAATGTCTCTCCCCTCCGGCCCATGCTCTAAAAAAATAATGCAATACATACAATTCTTTAGAAGAAAGGCCACAGCTTTACTGGTAACAGCAGCAGCCCCTGATGAACATATGAGATTGGATCTGAATAATCGAGAGGCCCGATTTTCACCCATTCATTGCCCACTATCATTTGCTTCAGCAGCCACTGAAGAAGGAGTCACCTTCTGGAAACCACACAGGCATATGCCCCTCCATGATTCTCACATACCTGGGGCAGAGATAGGGATTGAGCTTGCAGGCTGGGAGGGGACAGATCATGACCCTGCCTCAATCTCCACATACAGGGAGGTTCCTTCACTGTTCTGGGTGAATAAGTTCCTGTTGTTGCCCTTAAGCCATTCAGATACAACTCCAATGCCCCAAACTGCCAATAAAGTTTTGATGAAATAATTCACTGCACTCATACACTGTAGTAATGATACCTAACCTTCCACAACACACCATTCTATCCCTATGAAAGGTGGAGGGAGGGGAGGGACAGAGGGAGAGAAGGAAGGAGAGAGGGAAAAGGAAAACATTGTAAGGTCCTGGTGAGCAATAACTGGAAGGAAGGTGCCTGCGCCCTCAGGCTTTTTAGCTGGCCAAGTGACTCAGTGAAAAATCTCATTTTCTGGTCCTGCACCACCTTCTTTCACAAAGATTTCTCCCCACCAGCCAATACCAGGCTGGCAGGGACCGCCCCCCTCCCTGTTCTGGTAGCGGACTCTCTGGCAGACATCTCTCCTCTTTCTTCTTAGCCCAGGTGAGCTTTGCTCTGCACCAACTAAGCACAGGTAAGTCTGGGTCCCTGTTTTTCATGAAAAGATGCACTGCTAATGCCTCAGAATTTGAATACAGACTGGCCAGCCAGGTTTCCTGCATTCATCTGTCATGACTCAGAAACACACCAGCTAACTGTTTAAGAAGTTTATTAATGAAGAACAAAGGCTACAACTTCATTGGTTACAGGAAAATATCAGTGGTGCAGAATGAAGAGTGGATCTAGGCATCAGGTGTCCAAATTGCCAACCAATTCCCTACCTAGCAGGCAACTGCTGGGAAGCCACAGGATGACAACTAACACTGGGTACACCTCAAGTTCAATAAGGGCAGCTACTACCATTCTATATTTTCGAGTGAGGCAGGGCTCCCAAGCCAGGCTCATCATGACCAGTCCAGATCTCTAGATCCCCAAGGGGATTCATGTCTGTGTTAGGGACCTGAATCCCTGCTTCTCCTCAATGTGGATTTTCTCCTAATACAAACTGGTTCATTTCATGTACCATGAAACAATGACAGTGCAAGAAAAAAAAATCACTTACGTATTTTTCCAAATCCTCTGAATACTTCTTGAATATTTTGTGTAAACATAGGGATAATGGGCTAAAACAAAAAAGAAATAGACAGAAAAAGAGCAGAAGAGTATTTCAATTGGCACAAATAACCTTTCCATCAATGACCCATATATTTAGTAACTGACTAGCACAGGACCGTAGATTAAAATATATACATTTATCCAGACAACTATAGGAATTATAGAGAACAGAATGAAATAATTATTGCCACACCTGTGTGCATGAAGTCACCTTAGACGGGATTGGACCAGACTGATGCCAGAACTGTATTTAAGAAATGAACTCTGTACAGTCATTCTCTTCTCCTGTGTACTGATGTCTGCATGTCATGCTGCCGGTTTGAATACTGAATACTGAAGTGCTGTATGTATGTATATCCTGTATATATTTTGTAAATACACTGCTGAAAAGAAGAAGCTGTTGTGTGCGTTTATCTGCTCTTTACTCTGCGAGAGACAAGATAAAGTCACAGACGCACACTCCCTTAACAAAACAGATTTCCCCTTGAAATGGTCACAATGAGTTTTTTCATCCATTCAGCCATGTTAAATTTGGTGATTGTGACCATGTTTTTCTAGCAGATTTGAAGTTTAGAAAATATCAATTACATTTTGTTTTATTTTACAATATTTTTTCCTGCTAGTTAAAAATGACTGAATTATGTTCACACTGATGCTTAGTGAATGAGAAGCTAATAGTCCTGGAGTGTGCTTCAGTTTATTTTCTTTAAATTTTTCATCCTTTTCTCCCCAAGCAGAGAGTGTGATTACACTGCAAAATGCCATGAAGTTTGTGTCAAAATTTTTAAACTAAGTTTTCTACCAGGTGTAGTTTCCACTGCCGAGAACGCTATAATTGTCCACATAATTAATTACTTTGGTTCAAGAGTCCACACTAAGCTTCCCAATTTGTACAATTTTCTTTGCTTTCACATCCTCAACCTGTAAAAGCCATCCTCTTCCACTCTTCTTCCCTTCATCTTACTCATTTATGTGGAAGCATAATATTCATGTCCCTGCATTTTGGTTTTTTGTTTTTAACCTCCTTTTTTGAAGTGACTTAGTTGCAGTTCTGACTGCTTCTCTTGCTCTGGTTAGGAAACTTGGTAAAGCAAATGTACTACCTTGTGAGGAAACTTAGAATAAACAGAATTAACAATACTGAAAAGTGCCTCGTGTTCACACAGTCAGGAAACACTCACAGTCAGCTGGTGAGTGAAAAAGGAAAAGAGCATGCATGCTCTGCTAGGAAACTCCTGAGCCAGAAAACTCTCTGGCCATTCTTACATCAAAGTTGGGCATATGTGAAGCATGGCTGCGGCTTCTTTTGTTATTGCTGGTGGGCTTGTAACCAGAGCTGAGGAGAAGGCAGCCCAGTCATCTGCAATACCTAGCAAGCCCCAAGCAAAATACCATGAAGTTTGGGCTTGTAACCAGAGCTGAGGAGAAAGCAGCCCAGTCATCTGCAATACCTAGCAAGGCAGCGACACACCCGGTGGTTTAAGACTTTATCTGCAAGGCACATGGAGACATTCTTATTACCGATGAGCTTTGACGAATTTTTTAGTCAACTCCTTGGCTCCCTGACAGCAGGGGCAGAGGAAGGAAAGGGGAGAGAAGAATGAAAGAGAGCTGAGCAAAAATGGCCATTTGAGATGGGATTCTGACTGAAGGATCACTCATGGGGCAAGCAGAGCAGGATACAGCAAACTTCCATCTTCTTCTTCTTCTCTTCCTCTTCCAAGGCCTGGCAAGGAAAACAGGGCCAGATGCACCAGGCAGGAGAGCTGTAGGTGGCAGCAACTTTCGAGAGGATGATAGATGGTAAGCAGGAGATAGTATGTGAGATGGAGTCTGCTTCTCTGGGGAGATTCAGTCCCAAAGCTCAAAGTTAAGGCAACTTCTCAGTACAAATCCTGTGGCCAAAATCCAAGGCATTCAAAGTTAATAGAGATGTGATGCTTGTGCATCCTGGCAATGGCTCATGGACTAAGGCATAACATTAGTGTCCTTGAAGTTTGGACTCTTCTTCTTCTTCTTCTTCTTCTTCTTCTTCTTCTTCTTCTTCTTCTTCTTCTTCTTCTTCTTCTTCTTCTTCTTCTTCTTCTTCTTCTTCTTCTTCTCCACCACCTCCTCCTCCTCCTTAGCAACATAGCACTAAATTGAAAAATGTATCAGCCTTTCGCAGAGTGGAGGCTATGACATTAAATGGTAAAAACTGTAATAAGACCAATCCTTCCAATGAAAGACCAGTTATAGCAATTGTGGTAAGTAAAGTAAGCAACAGAGCACTTCTCTGACACAGCACTAAACTTGAAAGGCGTATTAAAAATAGAAATAGGCTTGGAAGAGAGGGAACAGGTTCTCACTCAATTGATGGGGATTATTTTAATTACATAGTCTAAGTCACACAAAAAGAAAGAAAAAGAAAGGACTGTCTTCTTCATGATTAGCCTTAAATTGTGTAGTTGCCATGGAATGAACTAATTCTAACCATTCCAATTCCAAGACACACTGCAGTCACAACCTAAGTGCATTTCTGTAACTGTACCTGGCAGGATATCTTGCATAGGCTTATGGGGAAAAGAAACCAGAGCAGAGTGACCACTCACCACTTTGGCTTCCAAGGCTACTTGAGCAAAACCTGTGCGTTTACCCCAGAGGAGCCTGTAGTGCTGATCACTGAAGATTGCTTCTCTTGCTCCACCAGGTGAGATCCCCAGTAAATGGCCTTTCTTCAACATTTCTAGACATTCGGCTTTGCCACCACGTATGCAACCAGCCACATCAAAAATAGGCTTCAATCCTGTTAACATATTCCAAGAATAATATAAAACATTTTATGGAAATACTGACTACAGAGTAGTATTTTCATTCATAACAATAATGTTTTATTGCTCTGTTGTACGGTGTCTGGGCTGGATGGGAAACACTTGCAGGACATTGGCCAGCTGAAGTTACCCATCTTTATCTGGGGATCACGAGCTACGCATGGATGATATTGCTCTCTCCAGTCTTAAGTAAAACTGGATTTGAATATGGTTGCTGGCAATTTCACAAGTCAGAAGTTACTGTTTCAAAGCTGGCTGGCTGGCTGCTGCTTTTTATGACCTCCTATGACTGAAGCAATGTTCTAATTGTAAATGTGGAGTTTATAGCACAATACCTGGGATGCTGGACAATTTCTTGTCAACCACTGTAATGCAAATTCTTCCTTTCTGTACATACAGTTTACAGAATAATAATATATAGTCACCGGCGGATATTCCGTGATAGAAAACAATAATTGCTGGTCCATCTGGTAGATGTTCCATGCCTATAATCTCATGATCTGGAAAACATAATCATGTATATTCAAAAGTTAGCTAACAAGACAAGCAAAAAAGAACTAAGGTAAAAAAAAACTTTCAATAAATTTTACATATTAGGTTAAATTCTGGATGATGAAGAAATAAAAAAGAGCAATTTGGGCCCTTGCGTGTTGGAGGCTCTTTTTTCCTGATTGTAACTACAAATGATAATTGTAAATAAAGCCACCTTTCTGTTTTTACTTTAAAGACTTCTAGGATTATTTTTATAAAAACCATATGAAGTGTTAGTTTTTTGTTCAGATCTATAAGAGCTCAGTGAGACTGGGTGTATCACTCAATGTTTCTGTGTTTTCTGCTAACTAAAAGTGTTTGCTAACTAAAGGAACCTCCAACTTCTAGTAGTCCTTTTCACAAAAAATCCCCAACACTTCCTTCAGTGATGCTTGTGCAAGGGGAGTCTCATAAGCCCTGGCATAAGTAAGGTATAAGTTTTTTGCATGCAAGCATGATTTGTCCTCATAGAGTAGCTGCTCCCTTAAGGAAATCTGCCTCTGGACAAAAATATCTAAATTGCAGAGCCTTCAAAATGGAAAGTGCAGCTGAAGAGCTGAATTCAGCAGAAGGTGAATTGCATGCTTTTTATATGAAAAGACAGTATTGTATATTAAAAAGCCAGGCTCAAAAGAAGAGCTGTCTTCCTCACAAACAGCTGAGGGGACACAAAAAAGCTCAGTAGGAAAACTGAAATGAAGCATGAGTCTAAAGAGTCTGTTCAACCAGAGCATTTGTTTTACATTTGACTTTATTTAAGGCATGTCCAGATTGGCCATTTTGGTGCAGGCTGCTGTGGTCTAAATAGGATCAGTGGAGGTTGGAGGGGATGAGCAATATACCCCTTGGTGCAATTCTAATGCCCAAATGGCATATTGACCTCAAACAACCCTGTTTTCGCTATTGCAAATTGATAAGTTTGTGCAAAATCAAACTTTTGGAGAAAGGAATGGGGGTTGAGTTCAAGCGTGGCTGGCAATAGCAGAGGCAGAGAAAGAGAGGGAAGGGACAATGGCAGAGCAAGGGGATAAAAAGCAGCCAATCTCCAGCTGAAAGCAGCTAGACACCGGTCTGCCCTTTGTTTTCCCCTTTAGCTACACAGAGTATGAAGAGGAGGAGGAAGGGGGAGGGGAGGCACAAAGCAAATTAAAAAGGAAAGGATGCATGTGTGTATCTGGAAAAGAGACTTCCCCAACAGGATATCTTTGTCTATCTAAAAATAAAAAATACTCTTAACTCTCTGCTGTAGATTCATGAACACCTCTCAACTGTAACTTCGCCTACCAACCACACTCACTTTTTCTGCCTCTCTTTCACATACAACAGACAACCCTCCTCCCTCAAAAAAAGAAAGAAAGAAGAAAACATCAATGTGTCTTTCTTTGCTTTCTAAAGTGTTGAGTTTGTCAATATCCTAAAGCAGCCTGTTTATTAAGCCGCTTCACAATAACGGAAATTCATACTAGAAGGACCCTTGTCAGCTTGGACAGCTGCAAAGCTAGATTTTACTCCATTCCCTGTGATTGCATGTGCTGGGAACAGACTAAATGAGAACACGCTAACCCAGATTTAATAAGAAGAAGCCCATAACAGGAGCTCAAAAAGGTGCCTGTTGGAGTGTCCTGGAGGCAAATTGGGGCAAATTGTTTTGCTTGTCATGTGGGCACCTGAAAAAAGAGCAGGCCAGTCCACTCCAGCAATGCAGGCAACACAGAGACAAATGCCTGTCTGATAGCAATGGGCACAAATAAAAAAAACGATTCACCAAATTTGTTCAAAAATAATTAATTCATTGATTTGTATTCATACAAATTTGTATTCATACAAATCAATGGCGATGAATATGAATCAATTAATTTTTAGTGATTTTATGGGTACATAACTTGGATGTCTGAAACCCAATCTTCACCAAATGTGGAGGGATTATAGAGAAGAGATGGGGGAAGCATCTCAGCAAATTGGGTATCTATAGGTGTTTGGGGGCCATTGCATAGGATTTTAAAATAAAAAAATGAATTGACAAATTGATTCATCAGGAAAAAAAATGCAATTTGGGATTTGTTGACCTTGATAAATAACAATAAAATTATTTTGATAAAAATAAGGTTGTCATGTGGTCTCCCAATCTCTGTAGGCTGACTGCTTTGCTGCAAAGATAAAGGAGCTAATGTAGGCAAAGGTTTGCTCACTAAAAAAAGTCTAACAATACTACCCACATTATTTGTAGAAAAATTCTATATTATAATGTCAAAACTTTTTTAAACGTCTCTCTGTGTTATCTTGTTATCAGTAAAGAAGAGGCTTCCCTACTCAGAAATGGATCTAAGAATCAATTGTTCCTGAACATGTAGAAATAAGATCCCACGTTTGACATAAAATTTTCATTTTAATTAATTTGTAACTGTGCAAACTTCTCTACCTATATATATATCTTCAAGTAAAAAATTTCATCGGATAAAATCCTGTTGTGCAGCTCTATCTGATGATGTCAGCATCAGTGAACAACTGCTGTTAATTAAGATGATTTTGAGGTGTGCACGACTAATACATAAAGCAATGAAGTCATGTAAATCCTGAAATCCCCAGTATAAGAACTGAATCAACAGCAGTTTGCTGCACTGCTGACATCATCACCATTGCACATACAGAACTGTGCAAGAGTATTCTAGTCTTTGAATCCAAAAGTTTCCTATTTACTCAATGGAAATAATGGATTTCACCTGATAGAACATTTAGAAAGCCCTTTACTCTCATCTTATTTCTTTTTAAACACATGCACAGAGAGGGAGAGGGAGGGAGGGGTGTGTATGAGAAAAAATGTCTTTCGCTTTCTTCTTGCTACTCTCAATGCAGGTAAAATGCAAAGTAAAATTATAAAATATGAGGCCAGTGCATGTGCAGTCTATTGCACTGTAGAAAGTGTAGTCCAAAAGTTAGTATTCCAACTCTGATCTTCAATCTGGTCTTTTATGGATCTCTGTAGGGAATGAGGTTGTCACTTGTCCTCTAGAATCCTTAATGTATTTCTTTTGTTAATGTAGGAAGTTCATGATCAGTACCATAATCCACTCCTGATCTTGTTTTTGGCTGACTGAAAACGAATAATACTGGGAAGGTTGAAAGGCAGCAGGAAAAGTGGAAGACCAAGAACAAATTGGATTGATTCTTTAAAAGGGAGCCACAGGGTTGAGTTTGCAAGAGTGGAGCAGGGCTGTTGAGGACAAGACATTTGGGCGATCACACATTTATGGGCTTGCCATATGTCGAGGGTGACTTGATGGCAGATAACAACAAATGTAGGAAGATGGACATAATGTTCTAGAATAGCCAATAGGTTTCCCCCACTTCCAAAAATAAAAATCATCTTCTTGATGTCACATAACATATGTCTGGACATCTGTAACAATTATAGTTGTGACCTGACACTCTAACAGTTAAAAGCAGTGCCACTTAGTATGGCTACATATGGTGTACAAACAAACAAACAAACAAACAAACAAACAAACAAACAAACAAACAAACAAACAAACAAACAAACAAACAAACAAACAAACAAACAAACAAACAAACAAACAAACAAACAAACAGGAAACTTGTTTATCACAAAAAAATTGGGTGGAATCAGAACTATACGTTTTGCCTCTTATTTTGGGATTTTGGGGGCTAGTCATTTGTTTTTTAAAAGTAACATTTAGAATCCATTTCAGATCATGGTGTAAATCAGTGGTGTCCAACCTTGGCCCTCCAGATGTTCTTAGATTACAGCTCCCAGAAGCCTTCACCACCTTTGCTGGCCAGGATTTCTGGGAGTTGAAGTCCAAGAACATCTGGAGGGCCAAGGTTGGACACCACTGGTGTAAATGGAACAGGCATCATAGGCAGAATCCATGTAAAATCCTGCCATTAGGGCAATGTAGGGCAATGTAGTACTTTCCACACTTTTTCTTTCTCGATGGCCTTTTCTCTCTTTTTCCCCCTCCTTCAGCTGCTCTTTCAGCATCTGCAGGCAGCTGAGTTACACCAAATTGGAATTTGCACTGTTGCGTGAGTTTTAAACGGCTAAAGTGAGGACTTAAATATAGAATTCATATTGTCCCACCCAAAGCAAGTGTTTGAACCAAGTCTCAAGACCTCCTGCTGTTTACTCCTAAGACACCTCTGACTTCTAAGGATCCACATGTAAGGCTCATAATGACTGAAATTAAAACATTGAAATTAATTTTACAATCCTTTTTAATAAATAAAAAACTTTTTATGAAAGCAGCACACCTTTAGGGTCCTCGATACATATCTTAAAATGTTTAAGGAATTGCTTTTTGACACATAAACTCATTCTGAAACAAATCAGTTATTAAGCTGCCACAATATTTTGTCATTTAAAAATTATTTTTCCTGTTAATTTTGCCAAACCTGCTGACATTGGATAATACAGGCACTTCTTTGGAAGGCATATATCTTAGCATCTGTTGGAAGTATCAGATGGGAAATGTTTCCTGATGAATGATCAACAGTACCCTCCCATAAGCACTCACATTCCAGATTAAGATGTCTCCACAGATAATTAGGATGTAAACATTTGCTTACCATGCAGTATGCTTCCTACTTTAATCAAATAACGTGCAAGAAAGTGCCTCAGGTTGTGCCATGAACTGCTCAGTATGTCTTCTGATACGTTATTCATTTTCTTGTATATGGAGACAACAAAGGCAAGAACATAGCCTAGAAATATCAATATTAAGATAATGGAATAGGACAAGATGAAAAGGAGAAGGAACAATTGCACAAAGAGATTCCTATAACTCAGGTGTTCGTCATCATATGTAAAACCAATCCAGTTTATTGGCAGATGAGTAAACCAGGCCATGGTTTCTTGTTCTATTTCCATCCACTTTTCATCTGGAAAAACAAAACACACAATTTATTGCATTAAGAAGGCTGCCTCCTTCACACTTACATTATATTCCACATTAAACAAAAATCACCTTTCTTTACTGGGCATTTGGGATCAGCTGAATATACATCTATTGTCCAACAGTAATCATGAAACTGATCTAATTCTGTGATTAGCTTAATGATTTAGAGAGACAGGAAACAATCAAGTAGCAAATTTGTTGCTATACTTTGTATTTAAACAGTACATGAAAACAAGGCTTCTTACATAACCTCAAAGTGCTGGATCTAATCTATGAAGCCCTTAATAGCTTGGGTCAAAGCTATCCCATGGCTTGTGTCTTCCTTTATAAGTTTGTCTGGGTGTTAAAATCACCAGGAGATGCCTTTATTTTGGGTTCACCCATCCTCACAGATGCATTTGGTAGGGACATGGGAGAGGGCCTTCTCTGTTGCTGCTCCCAGACTTTGGAACTCCCTCCTACAGGAGGCCAGGCTGGCTCCATTTTTGCATTCCTTCCAAAAACACATGAAGATTGTGATGGTTGCCCCACATCACTCCTGTCACTCACAGTCTGGTTCTCATTTGCATGAGCCTATGGAGAGGTGGAGTCACCAGATAGAAGGCAGAGATAGAATTGAGAAATTGTCAGGGAAACAGTGAGAAGAAATAATAATAGAAACAAGCTGGTCAAGATAAATAGATAGAACAGGTGGTGAAGGTGGCAAGATATATACTTGAATGATTTGATTATATGCATTGAATAAATAATGTCCTTCATGAAGTGGAGGGAAATGGAGTTCCTCTATCTGTGGAACAGGAAGTGACTCATGAGGGTACATCAGGGAGAGAAAGTGATCCAATCTCTCAAGAACATGAAAAATGGAAATTGGAACAGGAATTCAAGCTAAGACTAAAGGAAATAGATTTTGAAATGGAGAAAGAAAAGGCTAGAGAAAAAGCTGAGGATGAGGCTAGACAAATAGACAAATAGAGAGAGAAATGGAATTAAGCCAAAAAGAGATGGAATTTCAAATACAAATGATACCATTGGAATTAGTATCTCAAAATAACAACAATAACAACAGCAATGCTGAGGGAAATCTCCCAAAAATAGATCTAAAGAAATTTCCCCAATATAGAAAAGGTGATTGCCCAGAATGGTTCGTCATTTCCTTTGAACGTGCTTGCTGGGATTTTAATGTGAAAGAGGAAGAAAAAATGATACTGCTAAGATCCCAAATAAATGGAGATTTAGCAGATTTGTATTCACAAATGCCTCTAGAGCAGACCAGAGACTTTGAGGCTTATAGAGGCTTTATTTTATTTTATTTCGTTATTTCGTTATTTATTTATTTATTTATTTATTTGTTTGTTTGTTTGTTTATTTATTTATTTATTTGATTTATACCCCGCCCATCCGGTCTAAAAGACCACTCTAGGCGGCTTCTTCTAGCTGTGCAGCCCAAGTGCAGGGTTTCACAGCGCAGAAGAGCTTCAGGTTTCGCAGAGTAGACCATCTCTTTTTCTCACTTACTGGCCCTGGGAGTCTCAGTCATTCACTCTGAGACATTAGTAGGAGAAAGGATAAAATGACTTACAACTGAACAGCAAACTGACAAGCATGACTGCTTTCAACAACAGACTTCCCTCTAGATAGGGAAACAGCTCTTGGCAGAGAGCCAGGGCTCTCCTTGAATTGAGAGGCACGAAAGAACGATTGGTTAGGGCTGGATAATTTGACAGTCAACCCAGTCCAGAAAGGGTTCCCTCCTAGACAAACCTGCTAAAGGCAGCATGCGAGGTTGCAGAAACTCCAACAGCAAGAAGCAGGAGTGTGGGAGGGGTGTAGGAGGGGTCCACAGTACCATATGACAATTTGGCCAGGCCAAATTAGCATGATTGATTGTGCAATCTGCCAACCAGGAAGCAGACAGGCACCCTTTTCACTGGCCAACAGTTAACTGAAAGTTTAAATTTTGCACTTTCCCTGCCTCCCACGTGGTTATTTTTCAGTTCTTAACTCAAATCTAAGTACTTAAGTCAAGTCAATATTTTCCTATGAGAGCGGTTCTTAAGTCAAAATGTTCTTAACTCAAGCCGTTCTTAAGTCAAGACCCCACTGTATTGAGGTAGCCAATCAGCTGACCCTCCACTCTAAAACTGGTGCTATTGAACACCAGGTCTGTATCTAATAAATTCCAGATTATTTATGATCTTATTCTGGAGGAGGATGCAGACTTGGTGTGCATAACTGAAACTTGGATTAGTGGGGAAGGTGGTCCACCCCTGACCCTTTTCTGTCCTCCAGGTTATGCTGTCCAGCACCAGGGCAGACTGGATGGATGGGGGTGAGTAGCCATTGTATATAAAACATTCCGGAGGTTACTAGGTGCTCTGCAGTGGTGAAGTCAGGTTTGGAGGCCCTCCACATGTCAATAGGGGCCAGGGATGGTATTGGGATTTTGCTAGATTACCGTGCTTCCCACAACCCAGCCATTTCCTTACTGGTGTGGTGGATTTTGTCTCCGCAGCACTGTTGGAATCCCCAAGGCTTTTGGACTTGGGTGATTTCAACTTCCATGTGGAGGTTGAGACTTCTGGTCCAGCTCATGAGTTCTTGGAAACCATGGCTTCCTTGAACATGTCCCAACATGTTAACACCTCCACCCACATGGGGTGTCATATGCTAGACCTGGTTCTCTCCACCAATTGGAGTGAGTGTGGTCTGATGGTGACTGACCTCGTGTCAGTTCCCTTGTCATGGTCAGATCACCACCTAATAAAATGTAACCTCACAGTGCCCCCCCTCACAGGGAGCAAGGACCTACTTTAATGGTCCACCTTTGAAGGCTAGTGGATCCTATAGGATTCCAGAATTCCATGAGAGGGATTCTGGCTGATCTGGTTGGTGCTCCTGTCGAGGCGCTGGTTGAAGGCTGGTTTACGGCCGCCACCAGGGCTGTAGAAATGATCGCTCCTAAATGTCCTTTCCAACGCAGAGTTTGGCCTGCGCCCTAGTTCAATCAGGAACTATGAGTGATGAAGCAAATTATGATAAGGCTAGAGTGCAAGTGGAGATAGAGCCCGATGCATTACAACTGGAAAGCTGTCAGGGTCATGACTAACCTTTATCTTGCTAAGATAAGAGCTGCTATCTGAGCTCACCTTGCTAGCTGGATAAGCAAGGCTTCAAATCAGCAGGTGGAACTTTTCTGTATAGTCCGCAACCTATCCGGAATTGCTTTAAGTGATGAGCCTCCTTCTAGTACTGTATCTCACCCGACCAATTTGCAGCATTTTAAAAATCTAATGTGGAAGCCATTCTCTGGGTGCTTTCTCCCTTTTTTGGATACAGTGGATTGAGCAGAGATGTCCAGTGCTCCGCCCTGCCCAGTGAGATTAGATTTCATTCAGCCTGTGACTCCAGAGATTGTGGACAAAGCTCTTGACCGCTGTTGGGCTACCACCTTATCCCTTGACCCTTGCCCGGCTTGGCTAATCAAAGCCAGGCCAATAACAACTGAGTGGGCCACAGGGATAATTAATGGGTATTTCCTGTTCTTCAAGGAGACACTCATTAGGCCTATTAGGAAGAAAACAAATTTGGTGATGGATGATATTGGCAATGATAGGCTCATTGCCAATGTTTCTTTCATTAGTAAAGTAGTTGAGAGGGTGGTAGCTGATCAGCTCCAGACACATTTGGATGAAACAAATGCCCTGGATCCGTTCCAGTCGGGCTTCAGGCCGCGCCATGGTACAGAAATGGCATTGGTTGCCCTGTTTGATGACCTATTGAGAGAGGCCGACAGAGGAAAAACATCTCTGTTGGTCAACCCCAATACCTCAGCTGCCTTTGATACCGTTGACCACAGTATCCTCCTGAGGAGGCTCTCCAAGCTGGGAATTGGTGGCCTGGCATTTGACTGGCTCCGACTCTTCTTGGGGTATCGCCCTCAGAGAGTCCAGCTTGGGGAGAGGGATTCGGCCCTGTGGAGCCTCAATTGTGGAGTTCTGCAGGGCTTGATTATCTCCCCAATGCTGTTTAATATCTATATGAGGCCCCTGGGTGGGGTTATCAGGGGGTGTGGGGCATCGTGCCATCAGTATGCTGATGACACTCAGCTCTACATCTGCTTTTTCCCCAACCACAGTGAATGCAGTTTTGCCCCTTCAACACTATTTGGAGTCTGTACTGCAATGGATGCAGGAAAATGGGCTGAGGCTGAACCCAGACAAGACAGAGGTCCTGAGGGTGGGTGGACCCACCATCAGCGGTTTGGGAAACTCCCTCTCTTTTGGGGGGGGTGACTGCTCCCAGACTTTGGAACTCCCTCCTACTCCCCAACCACAGTGAATGCAGTTTTGCCCCTTCAACACTATTTGGAGTCTGTACTGCAATGGATGCAGGAAAATGGGCTGAGGCTGAACCCAGACAAGACAGAGGTCCTGAGGGTGGGTGGACCCACCATCAGCGGTTTGGGAAACTCCCTCTCTTTTGGGGGGGGTGACTGCTCCCAGACTTTGGAACTCCCTCCTACAGGAGGCCAGGCTGGCCCCATTTTTGCTTTCCTTCCAAAAACACATGAAGACCTTTCTCTACAGGCAAGTTTCTTTTAATAACTGGCTATCTGAGTGGGGTTTTTAAATGGATGGTTGTGCCTTACTGCTTTGAACGTGTTGCTTTTGTTTAGCATTGTATTTGTTTGATCCTTTTTAGTATTTGTGTACTTTCTGTTATTAGCTTTAATCTTGTCTTTTAATGGCATGTGCCACCTTGGGTACTACTTAAGGAGAAAGGTGGGATAAAAATATTTTAAAAATAAAATAAAATAACCAGTCTTCCTCTTGCTCCAGCACACCAATCTGAAGTTCTGGTCTCCCAACTAAGTA